CCTTACGAGGCAACAAAGTTGTTTTCGTGCCTCTTATTTCTACCTCATGATATTAACTACGTTTATCGCCGGTCGACAAATCGAGATAGTCAGTATAAAATCCTTTAAAGGCCCGAATCACCCTATTCCATGCGGTCAAATTTATTGTGGCTAAAAAAAAAATTTTCACCGCGTGATTTACTACTCTCTTCAGCTAATACAAGGGACGCCGACGGGGTTTTAAGACTGATTCTAGCTAGCTTCACCGGCTGACATGACTTTGCCTCCACAAAGAGGCTGCTTATTACGTCGGTCTACGTCAATTCGAATATTAACTAAAGATAATTATGTGTGACAGTATAGGTAATACTGCTTATACACTCAAGTTGAAGTAGACAGCTGTATCCCGGTTATAGGGAATTATAAGATTTTACTTCTCATGTATACCTAGGAGGTAGGTATACTTTTTTACCTTGCACCCTGTGTATAACTGTCAACCTTTCGTGAATGGACCATCCAAGATGAATAGGTACCTAATATATTGTGAGTATCCAACCAATCCTACGTTTTCTTCGGCCGTAGACTTACATACATACCTATTTTTAACGTATATTAATCATACTGGGCCTCGCCGGCCTCATCGGGTATTATTTAGTGGAGCTCCGTCCCCAATGCCACCGAAAATAGACCGGCTTTTTGCAGTATGTGACTGGGCAAAGCTTTGGCAGCCAAGCGCAAAGTTCTGTTCTACTCACAACCTCGCACAGGCTGCGATAAGCCGACAAGTTTGCGGCTCCGCGCAAAAAGAAGGGAGTGTGATTGTGATGGACTTGATGCTTGTCCAGAACGAATATAAATATAACAAGTCGCGGGGTTTGTCCCGTTCGTCCGTCGGATCTAATCCCATTGGATATTAAAATTCTCGCAGCCCCTCTGTCTGTGTATAAAGACAAACCCAGCAAGTATCATAAACGCAATGGGGCTAGCATCTATCCCATCCGATCTACTCGGAACACGAGCGGGACTCTCCCGATGTGTGCTGTTGACGGCTACCGTGGCTACCGCTGCATACCTAGCAGCCGGACTCGTTCTGCAGTCTAAAGGGGTCAAGAAACAGCTCATTACGCCGTCTCCGCGGACAAGAACTCTCCCGAAACTCTCAGAAGAGGAGATTTTAACCCTTCCATATCCACCCGACGCCCTTCCTGGGGCGAGAGACGTAGAGACTCCGTACGGTTCAATACGGGTCTATGAGTGGGGTCCCGAAGATGGGGAAAAGGTTCTTTTTGCCCACGGCATTAGTACGCCTACAATATCGTTAGGAGATCTGGGGCATGAATTTGTTGGTAAAGGGTGCCGTGTTATGCTCTTCGGTAAGTTATAGGTATCCTCTCCCCCTTTCTTCTCGACCGTTTGTATTACGGATATATTCCCTAGGTCGAGGAAGAAGAAAACAGTTTTCTTACCATTTTCCTTATCAGATCTCTTTGGCCGCGGGTACTCGGACGCGCCTAGCGACCTCGTTTACGATGAGCGACTTTACGTGACGCAATTTCTGTTGGTCCTGGCATCATCCAAGCTATCATGGACAACATTTAACCTTGTAGGATACTCTCTCGGCGGAGGCCTTTGTGTCTCATTCACGAGATATTTCCCGCATTTAGTTAGCTCGCTTACGTTGGTAGCCAGCGGTGGCCTGATCCGGCCATACCATGTTGGCTGGAAGAGCCGGTTGCTCTATAACTCGGGATTACTCCCGGAGTTCCTAGTGAAATTACTAGTTCGAAGGAGGATACGGCCGAAGACTGAGCAGCCGCCCGGTTCTGCAGGTGGCGTCGATATCGCGTCTGCCGAAACTAAGAAGCACTTACCGAATGGAGATAGCGATGCCAATGGCGGTGCCGGTTTTAACACTACATCCATCTCTAAATTTCGGCCGAAAGTTACTGTGTCCTCAATTGTGGGATGGCAGGTTGATCATCACGACGGGTTCATCACGGCGTTCCTCAGCACAATTCGGAACGCCCCTATTTATGCCCCCCAGCAAGACTGGGTGGTTTTAGACAAGATTCTTGAGTCTAGGAGACGATTCAAGCATGACGAAGAAGCCGGCCCGATTTCGGGACTCTGTGCCGGGAAAATTCTGATGATACTCGGGGAGGATGACCCTGTTGTTGTTAAAGATGAGACGATAGAAGATGTCCAGAACATGCTCGGATGTGACGGAGTCGAAATTGCTGTTTTACCTGGAGGCCATGAGATACCTATCTCGGCGAGTTCTCGTATTGCAAGTACGGTAGAAGCGTTTTGGCGTAAGCATTCGGCTTGAGCGAGCTCCGTCTCTCGTAAGGCATTGGATATTATTTAGGAATAGCCTTGAATAGGTTATCTTAGTGTCTAGAATTAGTTGGCTATAGATAGCCAGCGCCTCTTAATTGTTTCTCCCAATGCTACATTGATTAACCCTAAAAGGAGTTTTGGTTTGGGTCGCCGGGTCTCTTTAAAGAAAAAAGCATAAATGTAGGTAGACGGGAACGAAATATGCTGTATAAATGATGGATATGGTTGTAGCATGTGCTAAACGGCAGATATACCCTCCGCGTAGTCAATTCTACATATAGCACTAGCCTCACTCGGCCTAACATGTCTGCATGCTTCGAAGCTCATATACGCCAACTAGTCCGCAAAACAGAATTCCGTTTAGAAACGTGGTAATGCAACAATTGTTGTTACATACACTGTATGTTTGACGGCCTACTCCCACTCCTACGGAATATTCAAGTGAAGCAAGACACTTCGGGCAGACGATAGTTTTCGATAGTTTTAATTCAGGCTTTGTTCGTTATAGTATGATATGCTGCATGGGTAATTCGCTGGTCGTTTCTTAGGTTACGCCAAGTTTATTGGCGTCGGCTTTGAAGGATCATTACCAATCATATCAAACCCCAGATAGTTAGTGGTGTGGACAGGGTAGCATGTCAACTTGCATAGGACCACGTAGTAGTGCGTAGCCGTCCTGTCCGAAAGCAATCTGGGGATTGCTTACTGATTGCTTGCTGCCCACATGGCCTATCATATATATTGTGAAGCATCAACCCCAAGGGGGCGCTGGCTTGGCGTCGGCATGACCACGACTGGCTGCTCCAAGGGGTTGCATACCTAGTGTGTAGAGATTATGTTAGATCAACGTCCAATGCCCCGAGTTGCTCGGAAAGGCGTCGACTAAGAGCAGAAGGAGTAAATAGAACCTTCTTCTAATATCCACAGACAATATGCATGACACGTTGCTATGTCCGCCTCCTATCCATCTTTAACGTATATGCTATAGTCGAGTTAGGAGAGCGCTGGATACATCTGATACATGTCTACGTACCTGGCCATTTAGATAATTTAGATACGTAAATCGAACATTTGGAGATCGGATGATGGACCAGTGGACGTAAGCCGAGTATATAGTATCTGCAAATGTGATTGGTAGATTTGCTAGAATTGTAATGAAACGCGGTAGCACCACCGGACTTACAAACACTCATATCGTGCGTAAGTACAAAGAGGGCATGACGATCCCAGCCTGTATAAGTCCACGATTTACCTATCAGGGATCAAGTCACTGGTGATGTTTAGAGTTCTTCCCGATAGAGGTTGCGAGGCAGATGGAAAGTATAAGTGCCTATTCTAGCGATCTTACGTATGATGTAAAGTTAATTCTTTGATATAAGGAAATTACATCAAAGATGTGTGTCAGATATACCTGCCCGACCGGTAAACGCTAGAAGCCGGTAGTGGATGCGTGCCCCTTTACCCCGCAATTCCCTTTTAAGTTCTGGATTTCCGGTGACGTAAGTGGACAAATCAGAAGTGAAACATATGAATCTGTTAGTGTTATCAGTGGTTTTATACCGGCTATCCCCGCAAAACTCTAATCTCGCTTTAGCAGCTGTCCCTTTTTGCATTTGTAGCTTCCATATAATATTCTCTGGCGGAGAACACCTAATATGCACCATTGAATCTTTCTAGGTGCGCTAGCGCAGAGTTGTTTTAGAGGTAGTCAGCCAATAGGCTTTCACCCCCTCTCAAGCTAGCGTTGTCGATCTTTGGGTCCATTCGTAGCATGTTCCAAGAATCTGTATTAACTGAGTAACCCCATGCTGCAATTGCTGCAATTACTGCAATATCCATCCATCGCGACTACCTATCGTATACCTAGCTCCTACCTAGCTCCATATCGATCCTACCATATCTGAGATTCCAACAAACGGTAGCTCTCATTCAATTCGCCTTCTTCACACCTCTTTAGATTTTTGTACCTAACTAGAGGTCCCGACCAAACCTTGGCTCCCTATCCGGCGTTGCATTTCCGTTATCCTACTTTCGGAGAATAATAACAATTATTGAAATCGACGCCATCTAGAAGCCTAGAAGCCTAGAAGCTCTCGGATTACCCCGCTTAGAGCACCCTCAAAGAGAGGATCGAGTCAGTCGATGCTACACGGGCAAGCATCGTCACTTCAATCAGCAAGACACTTTCTTTGATAGTGCGTATTGGCGTCTTATTGCGTCAAAGAGGGAAAGAAACGGTTGATCGCATTGTCATTGCCACACCTACCAACCTATCTACCTCCTTATCTCTCCTATACGCTCTCGTCACTTTAAGGTCCTAAGGTCCTAACCATCCATATTATACGTGATATTGCCTACCACAAAGAAGCATCACATCTTGTTTCATTCCTTTGACTATTCTACCGTATTCTGCTTCTTCCCCACCTCGATTCTGTGTTCCGGTCGCCAAGTCGATCATCCCACACAGCAAACTCAAGGTTTCACTTTTGTTACTTCAATAGCGCCACATCATACCACCGCTCCAATTGAAACACGCATCGTTCAATTTATAATTTATATCGTGCCATTAAACCAACTACCAGTCAACTACATAAACCCGGAAGTTCTAATCGCTTTTTCGGTTACTCACCCTCCTCATCCCACCTTAAACAATTAGAACTGGAGCATTTACAAATATTACCATGTCGAACGACAACACCAACAGCCCCTCTGGCGACCGCCGCGGCTCTGTCACTTCCGCTGCGCTCTGTAATCTCTGGCAACGAAGCAACTCGACCTCTACTGGAAATGGTATCGGCCGCGAATCGGTCACATCGGTGGCGTCTAGAGACCAACGTCGACGACTATCTGTTAATACGATAGGGCTGTCTGGTACCTCACCCAATTCTGGAAATGCCACTTTTGGAATGCGCAGGGGCAGTAATTCCACCAACAACTCGGATGCAGTCGATGAGAGCGCCATCGAGGATGAGGAATCCGCCAAGATAGGGCCTACTTCTCCTTTCGCTCGTCGCATCAGCTTCGGCGCCCAGGCTATGCTTAGCCTACGCACTGGATCCGGAAGCCCCGGATCAACTGGTAGGACTCCCCAGCAGTCGAGACGTATTTCTAATGCAAATACGCGTGCTCTACCTTCCAGTGCCTCGTCCGCCTCAACTGCTGCGAGACGGGCAAGCACCTCTCAGGCAAGCAATGTATTACCCTACAGAGCCCCTTCTGACATGTTTTCTGCTCGGGCAGACAATGGATACAACTGGCCCGAGCAGCTTAGATCCCGTGCCGAAAGCAGTGTTCAAGGTCATCGACCGACCTTTGGACCTCGTAGATACGGCTCGCCACCTCACGGCGGCGGTCAACATGATCGCTCTAAATCCGTTTCCGAAATGCCACCTCCTCCCAAACAAGCTGCTGCCGTAAAACCGAAGCAGCCAGAAAGGCCTAAGCCAGACCCCATGCAAGAGCGCATTCTCAAAGGCGACTTCTATATGGATTGATCGATCATAACTTGAACAGAGGAATGTCCACATCGATTTATTTGTGTTTTAGGACCCAATCCTCTCGATCTAATCCTTACAGGTTCGTGGTCACTCACAGGGCCGCGAGCCATGCGCTCTATCTGCTGTATTTCCTTTGCATGCCATCTCTTCAACCTACGTCATTTGTTTCGACGATTTGTTTCTATGGCGTTGAGATGGGGAAATGCGGGGGACAACCGGGCAAATTGTCTTCTCAACTCGTACCTAAGCTCAACCCAAGGAAGGCAGTATCGCTTGTGGGGATGACGTGAAGTTGGGAGAACCAAAGGCGTTTTTCCAAATGATTTTGTTTGCCCTTTGCGGCCTACGATCAGCATTGCGAGGATTTCAAAGTGCTTGTGTAAACAGTTACCAGAGCTCTACGACCCAGTTGCATTTGTATGATCATTTGTATGATATGGCAATGGATCAAATCGGTCTGGGTTATAATATTACATACAGGCATCGGAGAGGGTTCGACATGCCTTAGGGATGTACGAGGATATTGGCAATGGGAGCATTTGACGAGAAGATTTTTGGAAGCCAGTTCCTACAAATTGTCTCTACATGGATTTTACAAAGCTAATCAACTGCATTATTCAGAGTAAAAAAAAAAAAGTTTTTGACACAAATTTTCAAATTTGAGCTAATTGGCAATGACTGCGCGATAGATTAACAATAGTGGCAATTCGGTCTTTCTACTACAAGTGAATATTTTACGCTACCCTTTCAAGTATATCGGGAGAACACAGGCAATCATTTGGACTCGTTCAAACGTCTCCATACGCCCGACCCAAACACCTCCTGTTCACGACCTACCAGGACTTCAGCCGATAGCAAAGAGAAAAGCATTACGCCAGTGCACCGCACGTAATCCCGTCACGCGAGTATATATCCGGCCCCCGAAAGCAAATCCTAGTTCCGACGCCCTAGCAAGCAAGCAAGCTGTGTATGTAGCGCGTATGTAGATATGTAAGCACATGCGTGCAACGCTGTAGCAACGATGGATGAAATGAACCATAGAGGCGGAGAGGCGGCAGCGAAGTGGAGAGTTGCCGAAACGTCCATTTTTTTCCCTTTTGGTTCCTCTCTCAACGTATCTCCTTTTCCGTCTTTCTCTTATATTCTTCTTGTCTTCCCAACACATATTTAGAGAGCGAGTAGGCTTAACGTAGTAGTAGTACAAGTAATTCGGTTCTCATCAAGGTGGTTTTTAGAACTGGAAGAAATTCCCATTAGGACCGTTCTGGGGTGGGGGGTTTGGAGCAAAGCTCTCGGATACTGGAAGGGGCCCGAGCATATCGTTCTGCATCATATAGCGCATAGTATCCTCGTACGAGACCGGGTCGCCGGGGCTGCCACCGCCAAATCCCGTTAGTGTGAGCCCGAGAGCCTGCTCAAACCCGTCTCCGAGACTGCCGTAATCGAAATCATTAGGCCCGAATGGCGAGGCCATCCAAGGCATTAACGATTGTTCTGGTCCCGGCCCCGGTCCCGGTCCCATTTGTAAATTCCCCCTTGGTGGCGGACCACCCGTCGGGTCGTACATAAAGGGCTGGTGGGGCTGCGGTGCCGCGCGCAGCCACGCTTGAAACGCCTGTGCGTCGTTGCTATCTACACCGGGCGGAGGTGGATTCGAGCCGTTGTTACGTGGTGGGCCGTTGCCGGTTGCTATTTCTGAAAGTAGTTGGAGGGGGGTGTTCGTTGGTTCGGGATTTGACCGATGTTGATGTTGTTGCTGATGTTGTTGCTGCTGTTGCTGCTGTTGTTGTAAATGTATGCCTACGTCGTTACTATCGTCCCTTGGAGATGCCGACCTCTTAGCATGATGGGCTGCCACAAGCTCCGACTCTTCATCGCTTTGGCCTGCCTTGCCTTGAGCCTGGCCCTGCCTATAAAACCAATTACGCAACATGGCCAAAACAAGGAGGAATTTACTAGCAGGTCGTGACTTGTCCGATGCTGCAACCTCTCGAAATTTCTCGAGCAGCTTCTCGAGATACTCGGCAACCTTCATATTGTCCTTGTTAATGACTTTACCTAATTCGGAATCCGAGTTGCTGGCGCTGAAATACATTTTTATTAACACGACCACGGCATACGCGACCCGAACGAAACTAAAGATCGGGATACAACGGATGCTATGGACGTCCATAGACAGAAAGGTCTCGAAAATGCCATCAATGGCGGTAAGACATGACGATAGAGCGCTGATATGAGACGGGGTTAGAGAATCATCTAAACCTGGAATTGGTTCCCGAAGAGAATCAGCGTTACAGGGAGGTCGATATTCATCTGCACTCTTATCAACGTGTAATGCGATTTCGTGCATATACAGGTTGAGTACATGGAAACCAAGTACAAGGGATGCTGCTGAAGATTAGCTAACACGATAATCCAGGTGAAATTAATACCAACGTACGCCTCTTATCTGATTTAGGGATAGACTCGCTATACTTAGAGAGGTCACGTTCGAATCCTCGAAGCGCATACTGTACTTTTTGCTCTGAGACATTAACAAAGACACTGGGATCATCCATTGAGAATTGGATGCCTACGTCCTCGGCGAGTCGATGCGTCCAGACAAGATGACAGAGATACCTATCCGTGGGTGCCGCATCTGGAGAAGATTCTAGGATATCCATACACTCGGTCATAAACGACTGCCATCTAATCAGGTTCGGACGGTGCAATGCCATCGATACATTCGAAGAAAGGAAGTAAACTGCGAGCCACGTCCGTCGTGCTTCGATCGAGGTAGGGTCTGGGAGGGGCTGTTGTCTGAAAGGATGGTCGCGCCAGGTATACGGTACGAGTCTCGACTTTGGATTATACTTCCTCCTGCCCAAGCCAATGTCGATTGACATGACAGCCGCCAAATGTACGAACTGGTAAAACTTCAGCTCCTCAAAATGCTCAGGTGGATAGTACCAGATGACGCTGACGAGGATCGACTGAACCAATTCCAAGGATTTCTTGCCCGAGATGATGATGTGATCGGCGAATATCTGCATGATCTCCTTAACTAACTGACGTTGAATCTTCGGTGTCTCGGATGAGGCAGCTGCAATAACAGCGAGGAATAAGATCGGTTTCGTCTTACGGATTTCGGTGGCAGTCGTGCCTTCGGGAAAGACGACTGCCGGTAGATGAGGTACCATATCTTCCATATAGCGGGTGAAAAGGGCGGTGGCTTCGCTCATGGTTATTAACCCACGATCGACTATATCTGGCGGCTGCTGCTCTGATCCAACGCTAGACTTAGGTGCTGCTGGCGAAGCACTGGCCACACCAGGAGAGCCAGGTATCGATTCGGCGAACTTTCGTTTCTGACCGGCCATTGTTGTCGGTGGTGCGATTGGACGCTTCTCGGGCGAGGCAACGGGATGGGATTGGGATTGGGGTTGAGGTTGAGGCTGAGGTTGAGTATCTCGAGGCGGAGCGCCCCAATCTCTTGCGGGTGCAGTATGATTGTATCCGAAGGCATGGTCCTCCGATGGGGGCGGATGGACAGCATTGTTAGTTGTTCCTCTACTCGCCTGGAGGCTTGCAGTCAAAGCATCTATTTTCTTCTCCAGTTCTGCGACACGGCTATCCGTCTTTTTCTGCCTTTTACGCGTGGGCTGCGTCACGATGCAGTTCCTCCCTGCCTTTGCACATCTCTTACATGGTCCATCCGGGTTCGCGGGATCAGGCTCACATTTCACCTTCAACCCACGACAAGCTTCGCAGGCCCGCGGCCGCTTAGGATCGTTTGGATCATGCACCGCATTGGGAGTATCGCTGTTGGCCGAATGCGAATGACCGTTCGGGGTTTGGGGGGTGAAGCCGGTCGTGGAAGCTGGTGGTGACGGACCAGCTGCCTGAGCTTGAAGCTGCTGTTGAAGTGGTGAATCGGGGAGTTCTGGTTGTGTTGATGTTTGGACTGGTGTAGGTTTTGATGATAATGAAGACGATGCTGATGTTGATATTGATGCGGGGATTCCTGCGGCGGCGACTTGAGATGATAGCGTATTCGTTGGACCATTGACGACAATTGAGTCCTCACCGGCATCACGAAGACGTGGGTCAAGTGAAGCTGGATCCATCTCGAACTTTTTTTTATATTTTTTCTCCGCCCGCCGAAAAAAAAGATCGAGATGCCCGCTTACCGACTTGGTGCTAGAGGCTCACAAGTACAATTGCGTACAATGTCGCAGTAGTAGATGACCGACTCGGCGGTTGTAACGGTCAACATAACACCCGGCGGCCGACGGTAGGTATAAGATGTACATGGGAGGGAAATCAACGGGTAGGAATTTCGTCGACGAGTGGCTGGACCGTTCAAACCGTTCAAAAGCCTTGGGGCCTTGGGGCTTTAGGTCTTTACTTGGTGCTACAAAGAACTGGGGCAACCCGTTCCGGTTCCACTCTTTTAACTTAGGTACTTTACATGGAGGTAAGAGGTACCTAGACTTATAACGGACTTCACCTGGGCAGTTTCTGCTTTTCCACGGCAGGTTTTAAGGTACTTCCATTGTAATAACTCGATATTCTTCCCAGTTGCTTTTCCTCCTTTCTCTTATTGGTAAGTTCTCAAGTAAAAGGAAGTGTTTGAACCTCAATTATTTATTTTGTTAGGTACTTCATGATGATTCATTCAGGATTTAGTTCTACATACATGGTTAGTAGGTGCCGTCATCAGATCAACGGATTTACACGTAGACAAATACCGCCAATCCCGGTTGCTGACAAACGAGCATCATTCTCATCTTCCCTGCGTAACTCAAACAACTCCACATCAAGATTCATTCTTAGAAAAGTCTATAAAATAATAGATTTTATCACTTCGACAGTTTATACTACCATAGCCCGCAGTAGACTTTAGCCACGTGATGCACATATTACAATCACTTCCGGACCAACGGGATGGATGCCCGTTTCCTTCAATACTTTAGCCTTGGTATAAGACGTAATAACTCGGGAAGGCTTAACTTGACAGGAATACTGATAGAGAGGTAGAGACCTAAGCTATGTTGAAGTATCTGAATAGTTTCGCATTCCGTAAGATAAAGGATAAGATAATATACAAATATTACCAAGCTAACATTAGAAGGTAATTTTATCTGTCTCTTATCTATTAGCTACTTCCTCCTCCTCCTCCTCCACCAAAACTCCCAAGATAGCACGATTTAATATGGTCAACTTTCAACAAACGGCCGTTGACCATGTGATATTATTGGTTATTGGACTATAATTAAAACTGTAAAAGACATTCCCGTATAACTACTAAATGCTTATCCTGGGTAAGTTAATATGTTACTTACGGGTGGCCAGCGCAGCTGAAATGAATAGGACAAGTTGGTGGTAGATTAAATATCTCCCTTAGGTGGTTGCCAATATCAGCTCAGTGTTACGGGATCATATCGAGGATTCTTGTGTAAGTAACTGAACCAAAACTAAAAGCAATGCGAAGCAGTTATATGTATGCATGGGATCAGGTCGGTCTTATGAGAAGCTATTCGTCCGAGACCTCGGCGACTGTGAAGATTCTAGGGGTACGTTATATTAGGCGGTGGCTATACGAAAGAAGTAAGTTGGAGGAAGAACCGGCTACAATTTCCTTCTTTCTGAAAGAGCGACGCCGCAGAGAAGATCATCACACCTAATTTATCTGTCTACTGCTAGAAGCATCCGGCTGCATGAGACATGTCCGGATTAGGAGTAGATACACGTAAAATCATGGGACTACGCAATCAGAAGTACCTCATATGCCTAATGTAGGTATTCGAGGCTCTTGAAGCTTCAACAAGCCGGCGGCATCGTATTATTAAAGATATGTCTGCAAAACCCATTTCGTGATATCTTTAGAGCTAGCCTTTGGAGTGTGTAGTTTTTCTCTCTCAGCAAACTCAGATGTCCCGATCTCATATTTATCTTGGCCTCTACATTTAGACAGACCAATCATGGTCGCTAACACGAAATAGATTCGCGACCTGCTGATAACATTTTAAAGTCTCTACCAAGATTACAAGGCGTAAGCCCCCAGTTCAGATAGCCGTGCGCAGGTCACAAGGACTCGGCGGAAACGCTCACGAAACGGACGAACGTCTGTTTCGTGCGTAGGTCTCAGATCTGTTTGCTCGTTATTATTGCGTAGGAAATACCTGCGGCGACAGTTTAATCATTTTTATGTGTTCCATATATGCACGTAAATAGGGTGACGCTCTGACCTTTTCACCTTTTCGGTAATACCAAATTTGCCTTAGTCGATCTTAGCCTCATTCGAAATTAAATCCCCCGGGTTCTCCGATAGGTACAAAGCTGGTGCACGTGGATATGGGCTGACATATCATATTAGACCCCTGGCTCACTTCCCTGGAGATGAGTTGAGTACGGGGTGAAAGATAACGAATGGGACCCGGGTATTGCCGTAAACGGGTAACGAAACAAAATTCGTCGACGAGTCCCAGTTCATGTCCGGAGGGGAGATAGCAAGGATCTCGATGGGAACAAAAACCAATATTTCCAAGATGAGGAACCGGCAAACCCCCAGCTTAAGTATGTACATGGCACGGTGACGACAGTTGAGACATTCTCGAGTTAAGACAAGGCTATTGTCGACCCTCGGTTCGCCTTAACCCTATATCTGGCATATTATATATCATCCTCAGCTGCAGATTTAATTATTAGAGTCAGGGATGTTCATAACCCCAAGTGTTAACCCCTGCTACTGCATAACAAACAAAATGGACCTCGAGCCCTTGGCTACCCTCCTGTTTTCTTAGCCGGGAACGAATTTCGAGGAGAATTCTCGCTTAAGTCTTCCGCGCTCGTTCACCGTCGATTGGTGACTGCGTAACTGCAGCATAAGCTTCAATTCCAACTACGGATTCGGAGCCGGTATATGTATTCCCTCGCCGGCAAGCGAAGAGGGCTTCTCACCTCAGCAACAAGCCAACCGGTATTGCTCCGGGGTCGAAGGCTTAAGACTCCGGTCCCGATATGTCTATCGTCCATGCCCGGCTCTCGATCATAGGAAGCAGTGATGACCTCGCGATACCGGTAGCCGATCGTATCCAGACCGACATAGTACCGCTCACTAGCGAAGGATCTAAGATCATTGCCTCGGGTGTGATTCTATTTGTTCTCACCGCATTATGGACCGCCCTACGATTTTGGAGCCTTCGACGAAGTGGCCGAGCATTCATGGTGGATGATGGATTGAACATTGGAGCGGTGGTCCTGTTCTATGGCCTCATAGCGATGGAAATCTCTATGGTGCTAGCAGGCGGTTTGGGCCATCACGTCGAAGAGCTACAGGATTGGCACGTAGTACGACTTATGAAGGTTCGTTGGTCTAGTCTATTAATTAAATACCACAAGGCGACTTCACAACCACCTTCTAAAATCCTATCCCATTACTATGAGCGACAAAAGGCAAGCACTAACAAGTTTAATCACTACAGACTATTTATGCTGGCCAATTCCTATATGTGGCATCGTTCGGCCTGATAAAAATCAGTGCTATCCTGATGTTAATACGTATCTTCTTCGACCACCGGTTCAAGCTTGCTGCTATAGCCACCCTGGTTTTCACCGTCATTTGGATGGTTGCGAGTATGCTCATCGAGTTTCTAATATGCCAGCCAATTGAAATGAACTGGCACGTTGGAATGGCCGGTACTTGCGGAGATCAGAAGACGGCTTTCGCAGCAATGAGCGTCATCGATATCGTAAATCAGCTCATGATCTTGGCCCTGCCTCTACCTATGATCTTGAAACTTCAGATGGAATGGCGGTACAAAATTGTCACCATTTGCATATTTAGTATCAGTATACTGTGAGAAAGACTCGTCTCCCGAACAGCCAGCATCTAAACTAACACATCTCGCACCACATATAGTACATTGATCTTTGGCGTTATTCACCTTTCTGCAATTACACAGATTGACTTTGCCGATATACCATACACGATAGCACATACAACCCTTTACGGAACATGCGAGGCCGGCATCGCTATCATAGTGTCCAGCTGCCCCCTCCTTCGACCTGTATTTGACGGGGTGCTCTCAATACGTTCATACAGAGACAAAACATGGAGAGACAAAGGCACAATTCTTACGCTATCCAGGACACGTAAAAGCACGAAATCAAGCGGGTTTACTCGGATGGGTACCGAGTCGCGAGAGGAGCTCGAGTTAGGTAATATGGGAGCACATCGAGCCAAGCGAGATACGTTTATTACAGTAGGAAAACGGCCTACATTCCGCGAGGACGACGATAACAGCTCTTTACGAAAGATTATAGTAACGAACGAGACTATCATCAGTAGAGTCAAAGGAGAGCTATAATTTTAATCCAAATATTTTGCTTTTTCGATTGGGTCATCTAGGGTCTAGAAAAAATCAAACCGAGCCGCGAGGCTCACTTGCAACGGACGTTATAATTGTATTTGGGACGGAGTTGCCATAATCGAATTCAGCGCGCGTTTATAACATTACTACTTAAACCTGAACGGCGATTCAGGTAGTAGTTAAATGTTTCGGTTTGGAGCCTATAGCTCCTTTCATCTCCTTGATGTATCACTATGTTTACCGTACGATATGGGCATTGTTTCCAAAAGCATGTACTTACGCCGGTGGACACCATTTTCCTTATTGTATACCTAGGTACTCGCATAGAGACCATAATTAATTTACGGCAGGGCATGAGCTTGACTAGACGATGTCAAGTCAGTGTTAGATAATAATCGGGACAATGATTACTGAGGCGCTAAATGGATAATCTGGTCTATGCGATATTACGGGTGGATTGGATCTGAACGAGAAGCACGAGGATACACTGACTCTTAATCGCTATAGGAGATTGAAGATAAAGAAACTAATGTCAGATTAGATTGACTATTTTCATATAGAAAATAAACCGGACTAAGATATCGTTACATCAGCCGTGCATACCTTGAAGCGCTTACTACCTTAGCGTATAGGGGGGGGGTTACTAAACGGTATATATACCGTATATATACTGTTTAAAAAAATGAACCGCTCCGATTCGTGAAGGGAAAGGTTCTAGTTATAAATTTTAGTACATTAAGCCTAATTGAGCAGTTCAAATAAGTATAAACGTGCTAAAATAGAGACCGCTAAGCTAAATTAAGCCGCTTATATAATAAAGACGCTCAAATTAGATTGAGCCGTATTATTACGGCTCATTATGACTGAGCCGCTCAAAAGTCTGAACGGCTCAAAATTTCGAGCGGCTCATATGGTATATAGGCATATGCGGCAAAAGGGAGGTGTACAGCACCATACTAATTGTATGGTGCTGTACTTTCATCTTTTACTTGTCGCATATTTATTTTTACTTAAATGTTACAGCTATTGCTACGAGGTTCAAGTCACAGAATTTCATTATTTTTTAATTGGTTAAGTCACAGACATCATTCAAATAGACCAATAGATATAAGCAGTCACGTTACGCGCGCA